TCTCTCTCTCTCTCTCTCTCTCTCTCTCTCCCTCTCTCTCTCTCTCTCCCCCTCCTCTCTCTCTCTCCCCCTCCTCTCTCTCTCTTACTCGGCTCTCTCTACGCGGCATCTCCGCTCACTACCTTGTGTAGGATGTGGACTCTGTAGGTGCCCTTCTCTCCCTGGTCGCTGCCGCCGAGGCTGTCATGAACGATGTTTGCGACGAGATCGTACGACGTGTGCGGATGCTTCCTCTGGACCTCCTCATCCTTAGAGAGAACGTCTGCCAGATCGATGTTCCTAGAGGTGCAGGACATCGGGTTAGAGTGTTAACGCTTGTGAGTAACGGTACTGGTCCCTCTGTTTCTCGCTAAGTTTTTTTCTTTCTCTCTCTCTCTCTCTCTCTCTCTCTTTCAATCTATCTATCTATCTATCTATTTATCTCTCTCTCTCTCTCTATCTCTCAGTTCCTCCCCTCTCTCTCTACCTCCCTCTTCTCTCTTTCTCTCTCGCTCTCTGGGTTTTAATATTTCCACCGGTTGTGTTGAACTTACTTGACAGGAAAATTGACAATCGTTGGGTTCTTTTCGACGTAGAACAAGTTCTTGTTGAATCGCTGAAACAGCAAGGTATGTGGAAGCCATTAACTCAGTGTTTCTCAAACGTCGGTCATGATCCTTGAGGGGAGATCAGAGGTTGATTCAGGAGGGTTGACAGATGCATGTGATGATAAACGTTTAGTTTCCAAGGACAGTCAGAATTGTTAACTTTGCTAGCTGCACAATCTTACACACGTACCTTTATGCAGATGATTAAGTAGGGAGGCAGTTTGGTGATCTCAAATCGCTTTACTATGGACTCCTTCGATGTCTTGTACTCTTTCTCCTGGCTGCCGTTAAACTTCTGCAGAAGTTGGAACAGCGGCACCTGCGCAGACAAAAAACCATCGTAAAATGCATGAAGAGTCATTTCTCCACCCATATCCTGCAACCCCCCTCCCCACCCATTCTCTCCAAAGTGAACGACAGGCAACATGGTCACAGCGGCCAATCAAAAGCCAAAACAGCGTTAACACATTTTCATGCTCCGCCTCGACAATTTCACCCTTCTCTGCCTAGTAATTTGGCTGAGAGCGGGTGATGTTTGTTGTAAACAATGTATCGTGTAGTGATGCCTGGAAGCCTGCAGGCAGTCAGTCCCAGCATGCTCTATAGAGCTCCGAAGTGATGACGTCACGGTGGCATGACAACGAACCTACTGGTTCTACACAATCATATGCTCTGGTAACATTAACTGCGTGTAAAGGTCATTAAAAACGCAATAAGTTAGTTTATAAGGCTAGTTTAATTAAACACTTCCCATCCAAAAGGAATTCCATGAATTTTTCATGATAAAAATTTTTCACAACCATAGTATGATTATGATGAAAATAAAAAGTAAGCACTAAGTTGCATTTCCCCTTCTCTACCAAAGATATTGTTCGTTGCAAAGTATCATTAGTAAATAAAATCACTTCACAATGAATGATTACGAGAACTACATCAGCTAAATAAAATCGACGAGTGTAACGTAACCATGTCATGATCAATAAAGCAACTGCTGCCACCTCGCGTTACACTGTGTATTTTAAAGTGTATATATAGTGTATAGTTAAATTACCAATTTCAATATTTTTACCCCAGATTAATCAGTATCATATTCGCTATTATATGAAACTAGGTTTCGCTATATTTTCTCAATTGTGAAGTTACTTATGAAATAATTCCTTTAAGGCATATTATTCACTACTTACGGTTGCCTCTCATTCTTAAATTTTCTGTCTAAATGTAAATTTTTAGGGAGATTAAAACAGATAGTTATCTCAATAACAACGAATAAGAGGAAACCCTTTAAATTGGACAAACATGCTGATGCCATTTGAGATAACTGGAACCGCTCCGTGACACAGCTTATCCACTGACCGTCGCCACCCAATCAATCAAGATTCATTTTGCGATGACGCAGACAGGGGATCAATCATTGATGTATACTCTCCACACCTAACCTAGTACACGTTAACGACAAAGCAGAAACCCGTGTGTAGTGCAGAGCAGCAGGAGCGCTAAGCAGTGGCTCGTTGACATGGTTACCTGGATGTATGCCTCTGTCAGAGTGATCATCTGGGGGAGAATCTCGGTCACGTGAAGATCCTGAAGTTCGAACCACTTGCCCGTCCCCTGAAATCAGACGTCACTGCATTGTCCATCTGACTACCAGCACTGACTAAGAAATCTCTTCTCCCTCGTTTTCGTCTTCTTCTTCTTCTTTTTTCTCAGGGTAGAGTACTGACTCTATGTACAGGTTAGTTGAGTATTATCATACTCTGGAAGGTGCCCTGGGTTACACGAATAATCACTCTGCGTCATTAACTACGGGACGAAAGAAAACACGGCGCGTAAAACGCCACACGACCGCGTCTAGTCACGTGAACGCCGGGCTGCTGACGTTAACAAGCTTCTAAGATTACCCCGCGCTCCGTACATCCCGACTGATCAAAACGCCGGACCCCCAGCGACTGGGGTTACAGTAGCACAGTACTGGTTCTGCTCTCTCTCTCTAACTTTCTCCCTTCCTCTCGCTATCCCCCCATCTCTATCTCCCTCTCTCTCTCTCTCTCTCTCGTCTCTCTCTCATATGCTCTCTCTCTCTCCTCTCTCTCTCGTCTCGTCTCTCTCTCTCACCTCGTCTCTCTCTCTCTCTCTCTCTCTTCTCTCGATCTCATCTCTCTCTCTCCCTCTCTGCTCTCTCTCTCGCTCATCTCCTCTCATCGCTCGCTCCTCCATCTCTCTAAACTTTCTCGCCTCCCTCGATCTCCTCGTCCTATCCCCCCCAGGCAGTTTGTGGGTCTTTGTTCGTGCTCTCTCTCTAACTTATCTCCCGTTCCCTCGCTCTCCTGCTATCATCCCTACACCGCCCCCACTCTCTCTTCTCTCTCTCATCTTCTGGTCTCGTCTCTTTTCCTCTCTCCTCCTCTCTCTCTCGTCCATCTCCTACTTGCTCTCTCCTCTCATCTACATCGTCTCTCCTCTCTCCTCTCTCTATCTCGTCTCTCTCTCTCTCTCTCCTCTCCGTCACTCTCGTCTCTCTCGTCTCACTCCTCCTCTCTCTCCTCTCTCCCCCTCCTCTCTCTCTCCTCCCGCTCCTCTCTCTCTCTTTACTCGCTCTCTCAAGCGCGGCATCTCCGCCCATACCCTTGTGTAGGATGTGAACTCTGTAGTGCCCTTCTCTCCCTGGTCGCTGCCTTGCGTAGTGCGAGGCTGTCACTGAACGATGTTTTGCGACGCGAGATCGACGACGATTGGTGCGGATCTTCCCTCTGACGCCTCATCTCATCCTAAGAGAACGTCTGCCAGATCGATGTTCCTAGAGGTGCAGGATGTCCGGGTTAAAAGTTGTAACATGGCTTGTGAGTAACGTAGACGTGTCCCCTGTGTTCTCGCATAAGTTTTCTTTCTATCTCGTCTCTCTCTTCAGGGTCCCCTCATCAACGCACTCTCTCTCTCCTTTCAATCTACTCTAATCTGATCATAACTATATCTATCTCATCTCTCAGTTCCTTCACACCTCTCTTCTCGTTACCCTCCCTCTTCTCTCTCTTCTCTCATCGTCTCGCTGGGGTTTTAATATATTTCCACCGTGTGTTGAACTTATACGTTGACAGAGAAATGACCAATCGTTGGGTTCTTTTCCGACGTAGAACAAGAGTTCTTGTTGAATGCATGAAACAGCCGGTATGTGGAAGCCATTAACGTCAGTGTTTCTGTTTCTCAGAACGCGGTCATGATCGCGTGAGCGGGAGATCAGCAGTTGATTCAGGAGGGTTTGGACAGAGTAGCAATGTGATGAAAACGTTTCGAGTTTCCACCAGGAACGATCCAGATCATTGTTAACTTTTGCTAGCTTGCAAGACAATCTTACAAGTTCAGTGACGTGTACCTTTATGGCAGATGATTAAGGTAGGGAGCAGTTTGGTGATACATCGAATCGCTATATACTCATACTATGGACATCGCTTCGAGGTCTTGTACTCCTCTCCTGCTGGCCGTAGAGACTTCTGTAGAAAGTTGTGAACCAGCGCACCTCCTCGACCTGCGCGGGACAAAAACGCATCGTAAAATGCATGAAGAGTCATTTCTCCAGAGCCCATATGCCTGCAACCCCCTCCCACCCATTCTCTCCAAAGTGAAACAAGACAGAGGCACATGGTCACAACCGGCACACGCGCCCCCGGGCGGCCAGATCAAACAGCCGAAACACAGCGTTAACCTCACCTTTTCATGCTCCGCCTCGACAATTTCACGCCTTGCTCATCCGCCTCCGCCAATCACGCCTTCTCCCTGCCTAGTAATTTTGGCTGAGACGGGGATGTTTGTTAGTAAAACAAATGTATCGTGTAGTGATGCCCAGGAAGCTGCAGGCAGTCAGTCCCAGCGATGCTGCTATAGAGGCTCCGAAGTGATGACGTACACGGTGGCATGAAACCACGAACCTACTGGTCTAACTAACAAACAATCAATGCTCTGGTAACATTAAAACTGCGGTGTCGTGTTTTGTACCGATTGTAAACCACATCATTCTGAAGTCATTATTGCAGTTTTTTATAGCTTTCCAAAGGATGGAAGTGAAAAGCAACAAACAAAAAAATAATAATTAAAAAAAATTAAAAATTAAAAAAAATTAAAAAAAAAATTACTTAATTAAATATTGTAAGATCGACTTGCTACCGATGCTTTACCGCTGTCTGCAGCGCATACACTCGTGTTTTACGTACGCACAACATTTTCACGCAGTTAATGTTATGGAGCCAGTGGGTTGTGTAGAACCAGTGGGTTCATTGTCATGCCACCGTGACGTCACACTTCGGTACTCTATACCTGGGGTATAATGTTCTGTTTCATCTCATCCTGGAAGATGGGAGCCGGAGGAAGGTCGGCCGTCAGATAAAGGAAGGGTGTCTCCGTCATCGTCTCTGCAATACAAGAGAACCGGGTTATTGGCGAGTTACTCGGTTCATCACAACATCATCTGCCCTCATGGACGTAAACATCAATGCTTGATTCCACATCAACGAATAGATTCAAGATACAATTAGTAAGATGAAATCATTATTTAGTATTATTAATCTTGCAAAGTGCATTCGCGTAACAGTGCGATGGTAATACGATGCAAGGACACACGAGGTTGCCTTAGCGATGCGATGGCTGAGGGATTCAGTGTCACCGTCCATTAAGTGACTTCCTTTAATTAACATAACCATCACTAATGTTCTCTAACCAATCATCATGATACAGACAAATCCTGATACCAAAGTAAAATAAAATACAAGGACTAAAGGAATAAACTGAACTTTACTGGGAGAAGAGGCCTCACCGTGGCACACAATAACAACACTATACATGTTTGGTGCGGGAAATAAACATGAGAGCTCACCCCGGTAAGCATCTGTTTCGAGTAGAGCTTCCCTCTCTGCCTGGTTTATATAGACAGGCAACACCCTCCGCGAATATATCTTCATGTAGCCTTGAAATGTTCTCCCAATGTGGCTGCAATGAGAAAACACGTAGAAGACATACTGGATCAACCATAACGACATGCTTAATAGTGGGAAGAAAATCACACCACAGTAGAAAATCACTGGTAATCTGGGTCGGTGCCCACACACTTTTAAATGTAATCATTCTACAATGAATTCACCTGCATATTTTCCACTAAGGCTAACCTGTTATATATGGTCTTCCCATTTTTCTTCTTTGTCCCTCCGAGGGTGGAATGTAGTGAATTAAGAAGCCAAGAAAGAAAGGCTATCGGATCACCTGCAGCAGACTTGGATTAGTACAGTTGCATGGAAATAGCATTACACAGAACTGCAGAATGATTAAAGTAATTTTAAATTGAAATATCCATTCCTTGATGACTCATACTCACTATTTTATAGAAAGCATTTCCTGTCATTTTACAGCTATCCTATTTAAAATGGACTAATCTCTAGGAGGGCGAGAGAGAGAGAGAGAGAGAGAGAGAGAGAGAGAGAGAGAGAGAGAGAGAGAGAGAGAGAGAGAGAGAGAGAAAGAGAGAGAGCGAGAGCGAGAGAGAGAGATAGGGCAACCCTGAATCAGTAGCAGCACTACATTCTCCTATTAAAATACAAAGCACTGGAAGACAGAATGAGGGGAGCATGGTAGACTGACCTTGCTCAGTGATCTGGTAGGTTTTCTTGCTGCACAGCACGACTGCCTGTAACATCTCATGTGGGCTCACATGTGCCTTGAAGTTTCGTGGATTCCACAGCTTTCTGAGCAATTCACCAAACCTGTGAGGAGAAACATGACTGGGTCAGTAACCCTATGAAAAAATAGGGCAAAAGGAAAGGAAACATGGTAAATTGGAGAGTATTTGTAGGATAGTATGAAGAGAGTCTATGTAGATAGTAGATGGGAATATATAGGAGTGTATGGAATCACAGCAATAGAAAGATTAAACACAGGAATGTGTAATAGATTTAATACAGTTACATGCACACACCTTAGTACATGCGAATGTGCACATCGCCCGCTCATGTACCAGGGTACCTCCGCATCTGCTCATAGTTTACCTTTGGACGAGGAGAATCATGTGGTCACCAGGAGGACGCTTGATATTCTTGTAGTTTTCTTCTCGTAAGAAGTAATCCCGAAGCGGTGTGACGTGTGAGAGAGCCTGGGAGAACAACAGTAGGTGAGCATCTACTATACTATACAAAGATGCCAACACATATTTGAAGCAATCTATAGTTTCTGGCCATCAAATTAGTAGTTCGAGGGTCACGTAGTGAACCGAGTTTGCTAGGGGGGTCCGGCATGACCCCCGGAAAAATTTTAATTCTGAGATGCAATTTTCTGCATTCTGAGGGTCAAAAATGACAATAAATTGACAAAATATGACAATAATTGACCAAAAAAAAATATTTTCGATCACAGTGAAATTCGTAGTTTGATACAAACTAGTCGTAGTGGTGCAAAAGGAATAGAAATTCGTGTAAAATAAGGATAAATCGTAGTGGTTGGCATCTCTGACTATACTATGCATTTATGGCATGTTGTTATTCGTCATGTTCACAGATGGTGCCTTAGGCCCTATTTTATAATCATTATCTCCAAATTTATTTATGTACTGGGGAATTGATGTACTATTATTCTCGGAATTTTTGTTAAATAGTCAGGTACAGCTGTGAAATTTTGACTGCCTTAACCAAGAAAATGCATTACCAATCATTTGACACGTCAAAATTGGAATCATATATCATATTGTGTTTTTGATTTAATAATAGCCATCTTAATGATATAACTGTTAGTTAGCACCATGTTTAACAGTCTCACCTGAAGAATTACATTGCAGTAGTCATTAGCTTTGATGTTGTTCATTCCAACAATACCTGAAACAGCAAAGAGAACAATTTTCTTATAGTTATTCAGTCAGTTAGATGAACATGCATACTTCATCTATTGCAATGTATACCCATTTCTAGGATCAACAAGTGTTAGGTCAAAGTTTTTAAATTTCAGCAGCATAACCCTGCAAAAAGCGAGAAGAAATTTAAATAAAATTTAATAACCTTGCAAAATGGCACCGTGCATCTTCTTCCATCAGATGAAGTAAGCTGGCTAGCAAACAATGAATGCAGAAGGCAGTCGAACAGCTAGCAGAGACTCACCTGACAAGTATGTTGTGCCGTCGTAAGCTCGTGACAGTTTGCTGTTGTCGTCAAGTTGCTTGATGTTTGTGAGCGTGAACGTGGGGTTCAACACAAACTACAATACAAAGATAAAAGCTTGGGTTAGCAAATCACTCTAGCGATGATATAAATGCACCATTCTGTACAGAATCCACTGGCTACTTGCAGCTGTCATGTATACAAAACAGTTTTAAAACGCATGACTTTTGACATAAAAATTTAGTAGTTGCTGACAAGACACGCTACCACCATTGTGTTGATATTCACGTTTGTCAACCGCACTAGATCCAACACAGCTCGAGTGATCACATATTTCTGCTGTCACAACACACACCTTGATGTCATCTAGGGATGAATCGATGACTTCGTAGTTGTCAGGGAGGCAGTAGAACCTCAGTGTGTGGAGATTAATAAACACGTGGTGACCGATCTGCACGCTGTGTGTGTATGCGTGAGACTTCTGACCCCGACCTTAAAAGTAATACATGGGATAAGTTAAATCACTGTTGATCCCCGATTTAAAGCCATGCAGCCATGCACACACTTTGTAAGAAGGGATTGCAATAATGTAGCTTATATGCACAGCCTTTACCCTAACAAATTTGTCGATTAGCTGCTAGATAGAGCAGCATTGTGACTGTCACTGACAGATTTTAATCAATGAAACAAAGAAATTTAAAACAAAGATCGGTTTTAAAATAAGAAATGCACACTGAAAAGCTGGATTTATGCAACTGTATACACCTACGTATACTCCTTACCTTGAAAGTACTTTCCACAGACAAGACAGGCGTATACGTTTAGATGGGACAGTGAGACAGAGCACAGCTTTTCAAAGTCAAAGTCCAGAAGATTCCTAAAAAAGCAGGTCAAATTTTTACTCGTGCTGAACAATTGGTGACTGGCATGAGCATGTGTGCGTGAATGTGCATATCAGGGTTCATAGTAGTAAGACACATGTTGAAATAAGGACTTATAAGACCCTTTCTGGAGGCCAAAGTAAGACTTTTTTTACGCGATTTTTGATAGATCACCGACTATTAAAGTACACTAATAATACTTATATATACACAATTGCACAGCAGATTTAATTATTCCGTATTATATATATACAACAATTCTTACTCTAAGTCGAGAACAGTTTATAAAAAAATAAGGACTATTAAGTACTTTTCTAAGATTTTACCAAAAATAAGTACTAATAAGGGCCCTTATTTTATTTTTGGCAAAATAAGTACTTATAAGACTTTGGAAGACCCGCTACGAACCCTGCATATGCGTGTTTCTACGAGAGTCTTGAATGCAGTCGTTTTAAGAACATTATTATTACATATTCATTACTTTCAATAGATATCCTGTTATTAAAACACAGCAATGCCCCAATTACACACCTGTTAATTGTGTCGAGGTAAGGACAATTCCTACTTCTGTCCAACTTGGGGCATTGATCATCCAAAGCTGCAATACAATAAAATCAGTGACTTGGTTAGCTAAATTTGTTCCACTTACTATAGCTCATAGATAGGGTCTATGTCCCTCCAGGTACTGCCAGAATGTACCCTGGTAAGCTATCTGAAGACTGATAATGGTTAGAGTTAGGAGTTAGGTTAGGGTTAGGCGTTTTAGTTAGGGTTAGGGTTTAGGGAGTAGGCGTAGAGCGACTCCCTAGACTCGTTATGAGAGTAGGTGAAGTACTTGGTCCGGGCATATTAGATAGTAGTATTTTAGTTACCAGGGTACGTTCCGCAGTACCACTTGGCGGAACATAAACCTATCAGCATACTATAGCATACAAATATGTAACCCAACAAGAGTAGGGTTACACTAGGATAGGGAAAACCTCACTCTTGTTGGGTTACATTATTGTATTCTACACTTACTATGGATACGACCAAACCAATAAACTAAGTCTTAATTACTCTTAAGTAGCAAAACTGAAACTACTGTGAGGCTAGGCTGGCATATTTCCACGCGGTGGCAGTTGGGAAGATATGTGCCATTATTTATCATGATAATTCAGTGCACAATCACAGACACAAATGGGCGGCCAATGCCGCAATGCCAATGCCCATGGGTTATAAACACCTATAGATTTCACAGGCACGACCTGACACTATGTACAATTAGCATATCTGGGCAAAAAAATTTTGTACTGGGTTCTACGCAATATTAAATATACTGGCGTCTTTTTTCTTCGAAATCTTCCTTTCTCGAGTCTCGTTTGTATACCCGACTTTATACATTTTTCTTTACTGTTTGATTACGGACACGATGGCGCCAGACATATTTATTTCATTCAATAGTTACGCCATCTGTCGGCCAGTATACATACGCGAATTTGGATTGATTCCATAGGTGTTTACCAATAATTAGTTAACTTAGTATTACTAATTACTAATAATCGCCAACATCGCTGATTCGTTATGATTACCTGAGCAGCAGTTGACGCAGTGACGTATCTGCAGCGTGTTCTACAGGGGACAGCTACCACTGCTAGGATGCGAACACGATGTACTGCTTGCAGTGGCTTATACATGTATGCTGATGCCTAAGCCCGGTAAACCCGGCAATGCTCTACAATCACGGTATGATTCATTCTTTGTATCTACGCGATTCTTTGCTCGGAGGAAACCGTGCACGACGTGCAGCATAGTTTTTCCTGGCTGCACTATATGATGGCCTGCCTACAGTGCCTGGGTAGCTGCATCTCTGGACGACGAGGAAACCCTGTGGCGGGACGGAACAGCCGTTTTGCTTCGTCGGCGTAACTGGAGGTGGCGATGGCATGGGCCACTTCTCGCCGAGAAGAGACGAAAGCAACGCTGTGACGTGGAGCGAACGGACCGATGGTTTCGGCTGCCGGTCGTCCCGCAGAGAATTGCGTCATATCACGCAGAAGTGAAATCGTAGCAAGTGTGAAAGCCGGTTTATAATTTTTATAGAAAAAAAATTATATATATATTATATATAAACTCTTAAAATAACCAAAATACGTTGCCCTACAACGACGACTTGATCGCGACAAGAATTTATGTGTCAACATATCACTCAATCGCCAGTTTACCGTACGTCCGCACCGCTCATGATAACATCGAGACCAGACATAAGACCGTCACATGGCGATCATCTTGCACCATGTAAACGTATCGGACAGCCATAAATGGAAACGTGACCGTCGCCATTCTTACACTTCTGGAACATGATGGAACAATAGAAATTGCATCGGCGGTATGCAGTGTCTTCAGACTGGATTTAAGGATTGAAGAGACTGATGGTTTGTTGCCTCTCTCTCTGCGGGTCGGCATGCCGTCTTGTCCGGTGCTATGGCAACGACAGATCGGCCGACGATGCGGGCGTGGAGTGATGGCGGCAGCCGCGGGCTCAGATACCCCGTTCAGCGCCAGCCAAGCCGCCACAACGCCTGAAAGAACGTCAAACTCGTCGTGGTATGCGGCGTGTTACGACACAAGTGTTATCTAAATAGCTGTACGTCAGGAACGAACGATACGACGATAGGATGGATAATCGCGTTGCCAACCAATCTTGTTCAACGTTAAAAAATTCCGACTATTTTATGCGCGTGATGACGAAAATGAAATGTGGTGATTACTGATTGTGTATATAATTGGTGTGGTATGAAAGAAGCTTTTTGAAAAGGTAATGCGACATTAATGCCTAAGTTAAGACTTATAGTGCTACTCATTGAAGGGTTCACGTTTAGTATGGGCGAACTAGAAGATATCTATAAATAGGAATGAAATTAAGGCTCACTGCATTATTTGCTTGTTAAATGAAAAAAGCTTGCACGATTTACAGGATCATGTTTTGTTGGTGTAAAGGCGCGTAAATTGCAATGAAGAGCCAAGCAACGTCAATGTATTCATGTATGTTTGCTCACACACTTATTGGTTTTATATCGTCCATCTAAAAATGTTCAATATTCACAATTCTGCTCTTCAAGTACTGCTAAGTAAAAAAAGACCGAAACAACTACTGCATGTGACCTCTCCCAACGAAAACCATAGAAGCCTGGACACATGTATTCACCCCGTGACTAGTTAGATAAAAATGGGGGGGGAGTTATATAAGTGAGTGGTCATAGGCAACCGACGTACGCAGCTCATGAATATACGATTTTTTCATGGTCTTGTGAAATATAGACAAAATTTTGTGGTCCGGCCTGCATTATCCGGTGCCGCTTGTGTATTTGCACATTAAGGTACAATATTAATGCATACATTACTGATTTGCAGTTACGAGCCCCAAAAAAAACAATGTAAATTGAGCCTGTTGTTTGATTGGGTATGATCATAGTTGCAGCGCAGCCTAAAATGGTTTGTTTTGATTGTACGTTTGCAATGAAACAAAAATCAACAATTAAAGAACTTCCAGTCGATTCCAGCATTTTTGCTTCTCCTTGCCTTGTTCCCTACTTGCTAAATTATCATATGATATTTGAATCAACGTTTTGGTATTTTCATAAAGAATTTTTGCCATGTTTGATCTACATCTATAGTGTTCCTGATTTTCGCGGACATGCACTGTAAATGGTTGTGCCAACAGATAAGTTTATTACATGCGTGGGGCGGGGAGGTCTTATTTATTGTGGTACTATTTTTCAATCTTAATTATTTTCTTCATGGCAAGTGCAAGGCAAGTGTTCCATGCAAATCGCTTATTATAAAAAACCAGATCAATTTGAAGAACAGCTTATTATGTGTAGAGTTTAAACATTGCCATGGCCATGGCTGCATTTTTTCTTTGAATATTACTTCTCGGTTTATGTGTGGATAAAATGTTATATTACAGTCTTTTCATATAGAGAGCATAATTCGCGGTTTTAACTAATATAACGTTTCTAGGTAAACTGAAGGAGCTCTCGATGATTAAATAAGAGAAACTTTCCTGAAATGATGTTTGTTTTGCGCCGTAAAATTGTTTAATCACAATACTAGAACTTTTAAATACACGGAGAAGTCGCGCCAAGATCCCAACATTAATAACGGATGGCACACTAAATCTTTGAGATGCTAATAAAGTACAACTAATTTGTTTACTGAGGAAAGACCGAGTTCTGAGAAATGCTAATTAGTTTATAATTAGCAGCGATGTTTTTGCATCAACCCTAATCGGAGGAGCAATAGCGAAAAAAGAGTAACAACTTCTCTAAGGGTTTGCAGAATGGATTACCAATGCATACAGCAGCGACAATTCATTTACTCTGCAATTTATGACGTATGGCAACGGGAAGCAAAATAGATTAAGATATACTATCTATCTCTGCCATTTCATATAGGCTACAGAACTGTGAATGCGCTTTGTGCGGTGGCCGCCACCTTTAAAAAGCCATGTCACCTACTTTTATTATTATAAATGCATATTTTTCAGCTATAAACGGCACATGATATGTATAGGTTCTGATAAAAATAAACCAGACGACTCGCAAACCTTTGTGCAACTTCGCCAGAGCTCTTCACAGATTTTTGCTTTTTCTTCCATATATTTACGGTTATTTGCACATATTAGTATTGAACGTGAATCCTACTTTTATATAATTATACTTGATATAATTGATTATATAATTATGGATTTTGATGACTGATATTACTTGATATATATTGATATGTTCCTGGTGCATACCAAGGACAATAAAATACATTGTTAATATATATGTAATAATGTGTTACAATGCTTATATGTTCTTAACGTTATGCGAAATGGCCAGTACACGT